ACGAATAAAACTAAATTTACGGATTTTATCGCGTTTATTTCACTACTTTTACTTATTTTTAATTCCCGACGTTTCGGGTGCTTTACAGCAACCATGGTCACGGGGGGGGGGGGGGATTGAGATGTTTGACGTCCCAATGTCATAGTCCGGCTACCTTCAGTTTTTGATTATTAATTTTTGGTCCGATTTACGCAAAACGAGCTTATAGTATCATGAAGTCTTGCAGTGGTATGCTTAGGTTTGTGTTTAATTTTGTTAATTATAGGATCCCAAGCAGGTGGCAGCACCCATCCATCTTCTGTATTGAAATTTGGATGTTTTTTAATTTCAATAGCTTCGCGTATCATCCTTGGTAGGAATCGGTGTTCTTTTGCGAGAATTTGTGGTTTATCAAAACGAATGTAATGGTGGGGACGATCTTGAACATGTTCGCAGACTGCAGACTTCCCGGAGCGTCGGTGCTTCACGTCAGCTATATGTTCTTTCACGCGGGTTTTTATGGATCTTTTTTGTTTGACCTATGTAAGAGAGACCACATTCACAATCTAACTTGTACACTCCTGCATCTTGTAGAGGGATATTACACTTGACGGATGGTAAAAATTGACTAATCTTCTTCGGCGGCTTGTAGTATGTTTTAATAGAAGCTCGCTTAAAGATGTAGCCAACCTTGTCTGTGACTCCTCTGACATATGGTAGTACAGCAGGTACACGCTCGACTGTGGCCGGCTTCACTCGGTCACTGTGACGTAGGCGCGGGACCCGAAGCTTGTTGTCTTGCAATACTTGCTTGACGTGCTGAAGTTCGGCGGCCAGATGTTTTCTGTCACAGATCCCTCGTGCTCTCTGAAACAAAGATTTACCCACGGTAGCTAACTGTGAAGGATGATGGTGAGATTCACCATTTAAATATCGGTTGGTATGGGTCTTTTTTCTATACACAGTGTGACCAATTGTGTTATTAGGATTTCGAATGACTAAAACATCTAAGAAAGCTAAAGAATTATTTGCCTCTAACTCCATTGTGAATCGTATTTTAGAGTTTATAGAGTTAAGGTGGTTTAAAAATGCAGTTACTTTGTCAGATGGTAAAATTGTGAAAGTGTCGTCTACGTACCGCTTGTAGAATCTTGGATTTACAGGAGCAGTAAGAAGGGCTTTCTCCTCGAAGTCCTCCATGAATATGTCAGCGACTATGGGAGATACAGGTGAGCCCATCGCCACACCATCATCTACTTGCTTGTAGAACTCTTCCTTCCACAATAGATAGCCAGATGTGAGGAAGTGTTTGAGTAATACTGCATATTCAGCAGGCATGTTATTATATTCTAGCTTCCTAGTTACAATTGATATGCAGTCTTCAATAGGTAGGCATGTGAATAGTGACTAAACATCAAAACTGACCATAGTTTCACTGTCAGCGAGATGTAGGTCTTTTATCTCACTAACAAAATGGTATGAATCATTTGTGTGTGCTCTGGTATGTCCTCATTGAATTAAAAAAACATTGAACTAAAAAAATGGTTTTTTTAGTTCAATGTTGAACTAAAAAAACCATTTTTTTAGTTCAATGTTTCTTAGTACTTGTGGCTCTACGATACTTGCTTTTTATACTCACATGTTTCTGGGTTACTCTTTTTTGAGGAGTGTAGAATTAAAATACCAGTAATAATTTTCCAATATCTATATTTCATATTTTTGTGGGCCGGGTTTTTTGTCAACTATAGACGTCGTTGGCGCTCAGGGCCCGCAGGTGCTGGTCAAGTATAGGCGACTTTGGCACTCAAAAGGTTAAGAATGAAAATCGCACAACACAAAATGAAAAATTGCTCTTCATACCTTAAGTAAAAAACACATTTAATATTTGTAATTTTATATTATTAAAATAAAAAGACACATAATTATTCATAAAAGCGAATGAGTTCTGAGGAACTGTTCATGTTGCACTGCACTACTTTTCCCGCTAATCATTTATGACGTCATCAGGGAACAGCGCAGTGAACTGATTTTCGATGACGCGTTAAGAATGCGCCAGAGTTGAGATATTAGATTTATTATGCGATGATTTGATAACATTTTTTTTATTCATGTGGCTAATTATAGTTTTATGTTTCTAATTTTGTCAACCACAGACGTCGTTGGCGCACTGGGCCCACAGGTGCTGGTCAAGTATATGCGACTTTGGCGCTCAAAAGGTTAAGAAAATGACAACTTTAGGAAAAAAATAAGAAAACGAAATATGTTTGTAATGTTTATACTTAATGTAATTATATAACTGAAACAAAGACTTTAAAAACGATATTATCACTAACAGTGGTCTTATTAAAAAACAAAATACGTTTTTGCATAGCATACAATACGTTTCACCATTTTCATATTGAACTTATGAAAAATACCTTCCATACTTTTATCCTGATTGAATTTGTTTTTTGGTATATGTGTACTTAACACTTATTAAATCGTAACACCGTGCTCACATTTCAACGTTTTCATATTGTCTTTTCGAAAATATATTCATATTTTTATCCTGATGATCCTGAAGTTAATCGTAGGATCTTTGTTCTAACCACAAACAAAAAATCCCAAAACAATCTTGGACTATGTAAAAAAAATTTGAACCTTGACAGTTATGGCGAATACTAACTAAAATATAACAAAACTAAACTACACCGACATTAATCATCACAGGCTTATAAGGTTATTATATACAAAGATTTAGGTTGTTATGTGATAAAGAATAACAATAGGTTATTTGGATATGTGGGAACATACACACTACATACATTTTTAAATGAAATGCTTGTATTTATTTATGTTAACATAACTAAAAGAGATTCTAGAAAAAAAGAAAATTAAAAGCAAACTAACTCTATAACTTAAAATATCAGAAACAAATTGAACCTACAATGAGTTTGTTAGCTTTTGTTAGTGTGTACCTAGATAGTTTAGGACCCTGGAGGTTTGCGTTAACTTTAACAACACCATAAACCTATTGCATAATAACAACTATTTAAAATTTAAACTGAGCAACCTTTATATCAAACATCACAGATTATCCTTATAAACATAAGATGCCTAGGTGATGACTTGAAAGCATATTTCATATGGTATTAACAAAATATTGAAAACATTGAAGTTCAATACAAACTAAGAAAAATCAAAATAAAACTAATTAGTCTTAAGTACAACAGAATGATGCATCTTAGTTAGATAATGTTGTTTTGAAATATTAAACATGCGGCGTTTTTTTGTACATACTTAAACTTAAATGGTTTATATAATACTAAAATACTTGTCATATTATGTTACAGTCTTTGTCAGGTTAAGGTCTATAGGCAAAATTTGTGGTATACTTTTTTACTGGTCTTATAATTGAATTCTCTTATGCTACGGCCACACTACCGTGTTATGCCAATAATCATTGCCATAACTTCAACAACGCCTAGGTGTAACCACAGTTTACGGCCATAATTTTACAATGCCAATCAATATGGCAAATTGCGGTAGACAATAGATCCGGCAGCGGTCTGTTTTCGCACATCAAAGAAGATTACCGCACTAATTAATGCATTTGTAGCCACACTACCGTTTGTCCAGTGTACAACATGAGCTCAACGGCGACGCACGTATCTCCAAATCGAAAGTCTAACCTTGTACGGCTTCTGTGCATTTTTATCATCCACCATTTTCTTTTTAGTCCTGCTTTAGCCTTGCAAAAATTTAAGATTCATGTACAAATAAGTGGCACTCATAAAACACAACACAGCTGCATCTTCAACCTCCATCTTGAAAAATGATATTTACCGCCTAATTTATTGACATATCTAGGTAAACTGTAGTGTAACCACACCACTTAATGCAGTAATTTAAACGGTAATTTAATGCCATAATTATTGCGGTAAACAGGCGGTAGACGGTAAGGTAGTGTGGCCATAATTGAAACAACAGCTAGGTGTAGCCATGATTTATTGCCATATTTTACAATGTCAATCAATATGGCATATGACGGTAGACAATAACCTCCGGTATCGGTCTTTTCGCATCTTCATCAAAGACGATTACCGCGGTAATTTTTGGGTCAAGTCGCCACACTACAGATTGTTCACTGTTCAGTTAACCTCTAGTGTAACCCCACACTACTTCACGCAGTAATTTAATGCCATAATTATTAGAGATGGGCCGAATATTAGTTTCATATTCGGTATTCGTCATATTCGGCAGCTTTACCGAATATTCGGCTAAATTACCGAACATTCGTTAAAGTGGTACTCAGTGTCCACTGTATTGAAATGTACGAATTGGGTAATGCCATGTCTTCCATAATTTTACTGTTGAAAGTATATTTTTTTTATAATGTATACTACTTGTATGCAAGCTTGTACTTGTATACAATGTTTGTTATGTTTTTGAGTCACTGTGGATTAATTTCTAATTATAGCAAATGGAAAGCTTGATAAAATATTTTTGGAATCAAACAAAGAAACATTACCTACATTACATTAGTACATTTCACTTTACATTGGTCATCAGTTTCTCTAAAATAAGTCCAAATAATAGATCTCCTGCCACTCATTTTTATCATATAACAATAAATTTTCGCTAAGAATAACACAAGGAAATATTTTTTTTCACACAAAAATAGTCAAAACTTAGGCATGTGCCGGCAATTTGCTCAGTTCTAGATGATGCTATAACTTGTCAGGTGTGGCGGGGGAGCGAGTGGTAGGGACCGGCGCTAATCTGGCGCGATTTAAGTTTCGACATAAATTGGTTAGGTACCGAGGTGAAGCTGCCGAATAATGTTCGGCCGAATATTCGTATTCGGTGAAATCCATATTCGGCCCATCTCTAATAATTAATGCGGTAAATGGTAAGGTAGTGTGACCGTAGCTTTAAGAGCATAAGCACCAATGACATATTATATGCACCACTAGTTGTACTAATGGAAGTCAATCAAATGACCACTCACTGGCTTGATATTACGAATCATAAGAGTACATCTACCACTCTTCTTCTGGCTCCTGTCCTTGATTGACATTAGAGTTGGTGTTGCTGAAATTCTGAAAAATGTAATTATGTATTATTCATATGTAACTGAACAATTAGATAATTTTTTCGGCTCAATTCATTTAATTACAACTAATTTTAATTAACAAATAAAGCTTTTCTCGTGATGGTTGCGTGAATGCCAGAAAAATCTTATGCTTATGGCGTTCATCAAAGGCCACAATAGATATCTAAAATTACTTTTTTAGATTTTCTTATTATATAGGAAGAAAATTATATTAAAAGAAGACGAAAAAAGTTTGTGATGTTAAGATGTTTGTATTATCCCAGCTTGAGAGTGGCATTGCAATATCAAGGATAATGCTAAAAAATTAAAAATATTAAATGTTCATATATATGCAAACTTGTTACAGAATTTAAAAAAGTTTACTAAAGTATTAACTTACATTTGTTCGCTGTTGAGAGCGTGTAAAAAGAATGACACTTCTTAAGAATTTAAAACTGATAAAATAACATTATTTTCAACTACCTATTTAATACTATAATACTCATGATTTAGTGTAAAGTATACAGATATATATTTTAAAATCAGTCAGCCATAAAGTTTTATTAATTATTTTAAGCTTATTTTTAAGCTTTAGAAAGTATCCGCTAAAACGGACGCCAAAAGTAGTATCCCCAGCGTGGGTTGTAACATTTTTTTGTGCCAATAAGAACGCAAAAAAGAAAAAGAAGTTATAAACTGGGGCCTATGGTTATCTCTATTACATTTATACATTCTCCTTCTGCACATTATGCACAAATTGATAAAATTAAACAAAGATTATATTGTAGTGTGTGCTGGTTTTTCAAGTAGTTAGTAATGCATCTTTTTGAAAAATAAAAACTAGAAGTTTTTGATTACTAAGTCAAATAAAAGTAAAGTCCTGATTAGCTTAATTATCATTATTTGACTCTATTGCAACTGGCTAAAAGTTTGTGTTGAGATTAAATGAGTCGTTTAACTAATTACACTGGACTTTTAATACTTGCCAGTCCTCTTTTAAATCTAAATTTAGCATTCTTAGGTTAATTACTAATAAAATAACATGGTACTAACCCTAACGTCGCTGCCACCGTATTTGTTTCCTTTGTATGTAGCTGTACCACCACCACCCTGCAGGAAGTCTGGTACGGGCTGATCTGCTTGCCGCAAAATCTTTGCCAAGTCTGCCGTTAATGCTACATCCTGGTGAATGTTAAATTAAATATAATTCTATTAATAGTAATCTCATTGACTCAGGTATAAAAAATTATTCTGACCTGTGATTATTGATATATTGAAAAGTTTCAAGCCATTAAACGCACATAAGGTTCTTTATATAGATTATTCTTCAAATGAAGTGTCAGTCATGTATTTATTTATTATATTTAAGTAGGTTGATGATAGATTACAAAAAAGTCAATATATTTTCAGTCTAGTTTTCTAGTTTTCTAATTAATATGTCAATTACTTTTTACTTATTATTAAAACTAGAAAACTCGAAAATTTTATATGTTCGAGACCACTATCATGGGTATGTATGTGTTATTGTTATTTATTACCTACTAATTATAAAGTATCGTTTCTGATGTATAATATTCGCCATTATTTTGACTATTGCAATGAGAATATAGAACGATCGCTAACCAATTATACCATAACAACTATTTGCCGGATTCCTATTATATTGTTACATTATATTAATGTGTTCTATTACTAAAACCACTTATTTATTAACATCAATAAGTGGTTTTATGTACAGTGTTTATATTTTATAATTGCATGGTATTGAATTTTATGGTTTGTTAAAATCTGAGAGCATGTACATAAGTATATTTTAAATAAATGTTAAATATGTGGTTAAAATTATCTAAATGACTGATGGACGCAGATACTAACTTGATCAGCATCAAAAAATGATACAGCCATCCCCCTGTTTCCGACACGTCCTGTTCGACCGATTCTGTGCACATATTCATCAATACTTTTCGGTAAATCGTAATTAACAACAATGTCCACATTTTTGATATCTGTAACAAGATAAGTACAATAATATGATATACATGTATTTTTTCTGTGGATCTCGTAAGAGGCGGCTTAGAGAAATGCCTACAAAATATTTGACGACACCCGAAAGGTTCTCAAGTGGCGGTCTCGTATCGGTAAGCGGAGTGTAAGGCGATAACCCACTAGATGGAGTGACGACATGGAAGATGATACGCAGGAAGTCGACGGACGCAAGTGGTTCAGGACCTTGCTTTTTGGTATTCCTTAGAAGAGGACTATGTTCAGCAGTGAACTTATGAGGACTGTAATGATGATGATATAATATATCATATATCGCGTATTTGCCTGCCCACCATGTAGGGGCGGAAAAAAATCCACTACCCCATATCACCCCCATGGATGTCATTAAATATGACAGAGGGAAACAAACCAGGATATAGACAGAAGGATCTTCTTAATGACTAAAAATAACAGGCAAATAGGCAATAAGGCAAATATCCCACCTTTGGAAGCAAAGTTAGTGAGAGGAGGCCTATGTTCAGCAGGCACTTGCAATAGCCATACTATTTAATAGTGGGGGTGTCATAAGTATACCGGATTTAAAATATCCATACAAGGATGGGTATAGTGTCAAATAATGTTAAAGAAATACCCAATTACTCTCCTCGCATGTAGAATTATCTTAAGGTTTAACTTTGCGTAATGACGGAGTAGAGCCGTGGTAGCTCAGATAGTTAACGCTATAAATATAACAGAACGCGAGTAACCCGGGTTCGATCCCCGCCGGCACTAATGAAATTGTTAATTACAATTTTAAATGCTGATTTGTTAAATTAGTGAAGGAAAACATTTTGAGGAAACCTGCATGTCTGAGGACTAAGAAAAAAAAATATTTCGAAGACATGTGAAGTTCGCCAACACGCATTGGGGCTGCGCGGCGGACACTTCCTTACCCTTAAAACCTCTCAGAAATGAGGGGAGGCCTGTGCCCAGCAGTGGGATGTATATAGGCTGTAACTTTACTTTAATCATGACGGAGCAAGAGGATTTTTTACCTATTTCATTGTTTTAATAAAGAAGACATTTAATGATATATGTCTGAAAAAATGAATGTCTTTATGAATGGAGGTGACTACAGCGGTTATTGACAATAGTCACAATAATCACAGCAGAGATGTACAGCAGTGGATTTAATACAGGCTGATGAGTATAAAGGCTACGCCACATTTGAGATAAATAAACAATTTATTATATTTTGCTCTTTTGCATTTTAATTTCTTTTTTTTAATTTCATGTTATTACTAAATTTATTTTAACTAACAATTTTTACAATTTTGTAGATACTTAATATTAGGTATTAATTTAAAATGTAGTCTGTAAGCATTAACCCTTTAAATTGTAAGAATTGTATGAACAAACACTAAAATGTAACTTAAAAATTTATTAATGCAATTAAAATGATGTATCCAAAATTAAGTATTATTCCTTACCTAGGCCACGAGCTGCGACAGCTGTTGCTACAAGTATGCAATGCCGACCGCTCTTGAAGTTATATAACGCCTCTTCTCTCTCCTTTTGCATGCGGTCACCATGTATGGACGATGTCAACATCTGCTGCTCAGACAACATCGCAGCTATAAAGTCGGCATTACGTTTAGTTTCAACAAACACTAATACGCGTTTGCCATCTGCAAGATACATAAACCATAAACTATAAAGCAAAGTTAAAATGATCCAAGTAAACAAATGTTTTTATCAAAGTATGTTGAAACTATATTAAGTGGAGATAAACATAGTCTCTACATGAGTTTGTCACAGTTTCTTTTTCCTAAAAATTACTTGATTTCAGGTACTTATTCTTCTTCTTCAACTTTCATAGAGTACTTTAAAAAGACTTGCGAATTAAAAATGTTTTGATTTTGAGTCTATAACCTTACCATTGTCTTCAATGAGTTTTTTGAGCATGTTCTGTTTTTCGTATTTGGTGACTTGATGGAATATCTGCTCTACATCCGTACTGGCTCCGCCGACAATACCGACAGCGATGAAGAGGTAATTGTTGAGGAAGCGTCCGGCTAAATGTTGGATGTCTTCCGGGAATGTAGCTGAGAACATGAGAGTTTGTCTCTCACCCTGAAATATATAATATCACAAATATTTTTTTTATTTATTTAGAATATTTTGTGTTTAAGAATAACTTACAGAGATAAGAATAGCATAACCTATGGCAGGTTAGGCTCTAATAACCAATGATATATTTCATATCATTAAGCTAACAAGAGAGAATGGTTTACTCACTACCACTAACAAGACTATTTATAATTTATATTTAACATTATTAAAACACAAGTAGTGTTGAATTTAATAAAATATTCACTTCTAAAACACTCTCTTTAAACTGTCACAAAATGTTTAGTGAATTGTTGACAGTAGGAATCCAAAGGAGTAGATAAAATTATATGACCTTTAAAATGAAAGATCATATTATAATCATAGTGTTACATTTAGAGAATATGTAAAGAATTATTTAAAAGAATGTATAAAAGAGTGTACTTCACAGCTAAGTCTTCACATTTAAGATACAAAATTAAGAATGCCTCTAATAAAATTAAAATAATTTGGAGTATAATCAATAGCAAAACTGCCAAGATGAAACTACATAACTCATTACTTTTAATTGAATTTTAGCAATAATTTAACAAAATCAGATAATATCCTGCACCGGTTTTAAGTCACACTACAAAAAGTCAAGATCGGAATGTCAGTACAATATTGCTCAAAAGTCGGTATAAATTATTGTTAAAATTCAATTGAAAGTTTGAGTTGTCAATGAATTCTTTTTCCTAATGTCGCAGAGTTATTACTTAAACAATTCACAAAAGAATTTGCATTTATTAGGAGATATTGTGATTATTTCAAAACAATTAATATTTAAAAAAAAAACAGATCTATGGGGGATTTCTATTAAATTTACTGCATCTATTATTGATTAATAGATGCAATCGCAACTTGCTATTATTTTATATTACTAAAGTTTAGTCGCGGAGCAGAAAGAATTTCCTACAATGACCTCTTTGTCTACTTGGCAGTGGTCACAAACATTTTTGTATTAAGAGTCTTATTTGTATGAAATATTTGAAGAAGAAAATAAATTATTTATTTTGATTTTAGTATAAAAACAGTTATGAAAAGTAAGTTACAATTACGAATTTGGCAGAAATAAAAAAACGAAAATTCTAAAATTTTAATCCGATTTCTTTGTATCGGAGTTACTGCTTTTCCGACGACGTCCCGCATTTCACATTTATTACAAAAGAATCAACAGTTTTGTCTACATTATCATCTAGCCTATCTAATTTAGATTTCTCTTTTTTACATGACATGAAATTTTGCAATTTTTCTGCTGAAATGTTGCCTAAACCTGTGGCTCATTGACATCTACATCTACCCTCGATTACGAATCAAAATGCAGATGCGTTGTCACCGTGAGGACTAAGATGGAATACCTCATTTCCAGTAAAAAGTGTCTCCGGTTCTTTACACTCACCATACGAAACACAGCAGCGTTGAGCTGCTATTTTACGCTGGTATTCTGTGTGTATATCACACTATTAACAAATGAATATGTATTATTTATAAATATGTATTAATATTTGAACGATTTTTGATGATCGTGAACATCAATAAAATGTGCCAATTCGCTCATTCTGTCCAGGCAGTTATTCCTCCTCTTTCTTTCATAAGAAACAGTCTGTAAAGATTCGTTATGTATCCATTGCTATTGCCTTGAAGTCTGATTTTATGTAATATCAAAATGCGTTTGTAACATTTATTGAAATTTGTATGACCAATCAGCAAATTGGGTTCTGTGCTACCACCGACACCGGTTCTCGTATAAAATAAGGTTAGCAGCCATTCTATTCAGTATTATAGTATTTTTTGATAGTAACCTCTAGGAATTATGTGATTGCTACCATCTCTTTCTAAATGTTTTGATACTTAATTGTATAAAATATTCACTTTAAAAATAGGCTTCGCTGGGTTTTCTTACTAGTTTTTTTCTAAACCAGAAGTAAAACTTAAAAATGACTTTTGATGAGTATTCTTGTGATCTATATTGAATAAAAATTATGTTTAATTGTTTAAATATACACTTACACTAGGGACCATGGTGGGATGCTCCATCATTTTTTCGACGGTGGGCATGAAGCCCATGTCAAGCATGCGATCTGCTTCATCGAGCACAACGAAACGCACACTTTCAAATGATACCCGCTTGCGGTCTACGAAGTCATGTAGCCTTCCTGGTGTTGCAACCAGTATGTGACACCCCCTCTACAACATAAAATAAAGCAAAAAAATTAGCATAAAAGTTAAGTTACAGCCTATATACGTCCCACTGCTGGGCACAGGCCTCCCCTCATTTCTGAGAGGGTTTTAGGGCAAGGAAGTGTCCACCGCGCTGCTCCAATGCGTGTTGGCGAACTTCACGCCTTCGAAATAATTTTTTTTTCTTATTCCTAAGACATGCAGGTTTCCTCACGATGTTTTCCTGCACTGCCGCGAGCATGTGGTATATCAGCACTTAAAATTGCAATTATCAATTTCATTGATGACGGCGGGGATCGAACCCGGGTTACTCGCGTTCTAACGCGCGTTAACCATCTGAGCTACTACATATATATATATTATATATATTTTATTTTTTTTTTTTTTTTTTTTTTATATGTCGGAGAAGTACGAATGCTGATTTGACAACGAGGCTGAAGTGTTGTGACCCAACTCTTCGACGGAGTCTAGCCGGGAGGATCGCGCTAGGAACCGTCACACGACTCGTTGTGTTTTGTATTGTACAAATTAAATTAGTTACGTGATCTAGATTACTTTGTTTATTGCTCGTCACCCTATTGCCCCCCCACATATTATGTTTTCTGAGGAAGACTCCCATGCTAATCAACCTCATCAACCGACATCAGTAGTGGGATCCGAGCAAACAAACGGACGTCGCGCTGAGGTCACACAACGTGAAGAGAATAGCGTCAAGTGGCGGTTGTTATTATTCGAAATGCAAAATTCGAATATGAAAGCCCTGATCGAAGCGCTGAATAAGCCACAGCGTTCTACCCAGCTTGTGACGCTTCCCGAATTTGACCCGGACAAGACTGATGCAAATGCACGCTCATGGTGTGTCACTTCGGAACTTTGCCGATAATCCAATGGAAGGAAGCCAGCTGATCGTCACCGTTACCAAGGCACTACCACCAGCCCCATTGTCTGCTTCAAGTGTGGTAAGCAAGCAAACATTTCTACCTGGTGCGGTGCCCTAATAGAGGTCGTAACACCGAGGCGCCGCGCAGCGAGCGACGGATCGACGTGTCAGTGTCAGGTCAGTCCTTTTCATTTCACTACGATTCCGGTGCCTAGTGCTCACTTACTAAGGAGAGTGAGAGATCACACAAATTTAGTGGTAAAAGTGGACAAAATGTTTTAACCTTAAAAGGCATTAGTCAGATGAGTGTACTCAGCACTGTTCAGATTACTTGCGTTGTTGCTATTGATAACAATTTATTGAACTATTATTACATCTTTTGCCCGATGCCTTTTGCAAAGTGATATAATGTTGGGTCGTGAAATATTGTTGCTAGGATTTAGTGTCAAAAAGATCTTGGTAGGAGTCATTAGGCGAGGTCCAACTCGCGATTAACTCCATGAATAACCGAATGACGAAAGCTAGTCCCTTAGAGTTGTTAATGGGCAGGGTTGCGCTGTCTCTAACATTGATAGCAGCAGATGATGTAGAACTCAAGGTTGACTTAAATACCGTGAGAGATGATGCGTTACATAATATAGAGTGCAGCATCTTATTAAAAAAATAGTTTTATAAGACAAAGGCGAGGCTTAATAAATTTTCGGTAGGTGACTTTGTTTTGATTTAAACGAGGAACGAGTTAGATCCAAAATTCAAAGGGCCGGTTGAGGTCATAGAGGTTCTCGACGGTGATCGTTATAACCTAAAAGCCCTTAACTCTATTAACTCTAACCGTATTTACAAATACTTACACGATAGGTTGCGAAAAATGCCGGAAAATCAAAGTGTAACTGACGAAATTAAAGTAGAGCAAATTAGTTTTGATATTGAAGAGAGTATTTAAGTTTGCATAATGATCGGACCGTACCAGAGCTTGTCGCGTAGCCGTAACTCAGTGGAAATCGGCGTCTACTAACTTAGTAGTCCGTGAGTACGCGGTAAGCAGTCAACTCTGGCGGAGGTCGGGTTTCAGTGGAAACTATGGAGTCCAGGAGAGACTCGGCGTTCCTATGTGGGGTTCGCATAAAGAAAAAATGAGTGACTGGAGGTCACTGGGCTATGCGTAGCCGTGATCACATGTAGAGCCTAAATGTTTTTGTTTATTTGGTGAGAATAAGTCTCTTGTGAGATACTGCAATTGTTAAATGTCAGTTTTACTTGGGTAATTAGTTTTTTTAATTGTATATTTTAATTATTGTACGTAATTGAGTTCATTAGTTTTGTTTAAATTAAATGTACCTAATTAGGTTTAGTAGTCAAGTTGAAATTAAATGTAATTAAGTTTAGTAGTCTAGTTGAAATTAAATATAGAGTTCGGTCAATATTGAGTTTCATTGAATCCACGAAAATTTGTGGCCCACAAACTAAACGTTTTATGGTATCCCCTCCATCTGTCAACAGGTCTCAGGAATGTTAGAGTACTAGAGCTCGATCAGTTCTCACGTATTTCAATATGTTACAAAAAAACTTTGTTTGTGATAAGAATGTGAGCCCAACTGAAATAAATTACAGTTTAAGTCACTTGATTTGCAGTATTCTCGAAACTGAAGCATAAACTTACCTTATGGGTCACTTAAGTGTGGTAAGTTATCGTAGAGCTTGTGAAGAAATGTGTCGAGAGTTGTGTTATTTTTTTTGGATTAATGTTGTTAAGTGGGTAAAGTAAAATTTTTATCAGGTAAAGGTTTGATTTTGTGATTGTAACGACTTGTGTGTAATGAAGTAGGAGGGGGTCAATTAATGTAATTTCAAAATAGAATTGATAATGTGTTACGAAGGGAGCTGTCCTGATTCGTATGTAATTTGTTAGCTTATTTTATAAGCTTTATATATATATATATATATATATATATATATATATATATATATATATATATATATATATATATATTTATAATAAAAAATTAGCATATTCTCACTGAATGCTTTGTATAATAAAAATTTGTTGATGTTGCAGTAAAGTAAAAAGTAAAGTTACAGCCTATATACGTCCCACTGCTGGGCTCAGGCCTCCCCTCATTTCTGAGAGGGTTTAGGGCAAGGAAGTGTCCGCCGCGCTGCCCAAATGCGTGTTGACGAACTTCACATGTCTTCGAAATATTTTTTTTTCTTATTCCTCAGACATGCAGGTTTCCTCACGATGTTTTCCTTCACCGCCGAGCACGTGGTAAATCAGCACTTAAAATTGCAATTAACAATTTCATTGGTGCCGGCGGGGATCGAACCCGGGTTACCCGCGTTCTGTTATATTTACAGCGGCGTTAACCACTGAGCTACCACGGCTCTTGTCTTGTCTTGATGTTGCAGTAAATTTCTGTAAATGACGCCACAGTAGTTTGCTAAACTGTGTTGGGAAGTTGCATACATCACTCATAAACAATACGATTTAAAATGAAGATATGGAGCTTTTTGCAAAAAAATGATTGTCATTTGCTATCATCGATCTCTTCTTACCTCAATCAATTCTCATTTGCTTCCATGTCTTAGTAAAATCGGCAATGGCTTAAGTAAAATAAAGGGAAAAATCAGTTTTCACATCAACAAAGGAATGACATGCTAGACTATAACGGGTCAGAGCCGTGTGTCGGCCGTAGCACGGTTAACTAATATTACATGTATTTTGTATTGACACACACTATACCGAGCGGCAACCGTGTGATGGCCGAGTAATGGACAATGCTCGGCAACAACTCGGTCCCGCCTTGTAGTTGAAGATTTATCAGATTCTTCATCATCCAGATCCAGATCAGCACTACAGACAGTCAACTGCTGGACAAACCATCGCCTTTGTACCCAATATACACATAACAGTAAAGTAACTTACGGAAATATTATCGCCTTGATGACGCACAGCAGTTCCACCATAGGCCACAGCAACTTTCAGTACTGAACCATGGGAAAACTTCCTTGCTTCATTGAATATTTGCAGTGTCAGTTCCCTTGTCGGTGACACTATTATAACCTAAAAATAAAAACTAGTAAAAGATCTAGTGTTAAGACTTAAAGATAATGTTTATATGATATGTTTTAATTATATTTTATTTATGATAAATTAAGTTTTAAGCATACCTGTGGTTGAGCATTAGGACTAACAACAAGCTCTCTTTCATCTTGTAGAAGAACATTAATTATAGGTAACAGGAAAGCCGCCTGAAATTTAAAAACGATATATATATTTATAATAAGTAATAAAACAATATTAAGCATTACATTAGCCACGACTTGTTATTACTTACAGTCTTCCCTGAACCAGTCTGTGCGCAGCCCATGAGATCTCGGCCCGACATTATAATTGGAATAGCGTGTTTTTGAATGGGCGTTGGTTTCTTGTAACCAGATTTTAATATGTTATTTAGAACATACTTTCGCAAGTTGGCAGACTCGAAACTTTCGATTGGTCGTGGTGGATTTTCACCACTTACCTAGATAAAAAATTATTGCTTTAATGATTTATATAAGGATATATTTTGATGTATTGCATATAAGCATCCTAAGTGGTTTTTGGTACTGTGATTGCCTATCCATTTGCAAAGCGTGACTATTAAAGTAAATTATCCTTATGGCCTGGGAGAGAAGCCCATTTGTAGCAAACGAACTGATGAAGAAGATGATAATGTCTGGTACTTTAGGGGATGGTCTATTTTTTAAAGTGTTTACAACAAATCGAACTTGGGAGAGTGTACAGTGAACAGTAATTTGTCATAGATTGTGGTAGTGATAACAAATATTTGATAAAAATTAAATCTCTTTATGTCCTAATCAAAACTAGGAATGTTTTTCATTAATGATTGAGTTAAATCATTATAACATTCCTAAGCTATCGCATTTAGATTTTAACATGCTTATCAAATTAATAACAATAAGATTTGTATACCTTGCAATTGATATGATAACACAATCTGATAAGAACATAATATTATGGTGCTATTTTTTATTTAGATACCACATCATTTAGTTATCTCATTTGTTTTCCAAATGTGAGCTGGTGCCTTTATGTATAACTATGTCTAATGTGATTTATTGTTTAAGCCAAAATGATAGCTAGTGTGGATAACCCAAATGCAATTATAAATTCATCAATATAATTTAAAATTTGATGTTCAAATGTGTAGTTCTCTTTCAGGTATAATTTATTATCATTACAGAATCAAAAGTAGAGCCAAGATTTGAATTTTATGAGCTCAGCCTTCAGCTGTTTCAGAGGAATTTAAGATATTTCTTTTATAATGGAACTTTACCGTACCTTACCTGATGGTAAGTGGATGCTGTGGCCAATAGACAATCTACGTCCTCATCCTCAGTTAAGAATCAAAATGTAGATGTGTTGTCACCCCTGAGGACTAGAATGAAATGCTTCATATCCAGTAAAAAGGGTCTCCGGTTCTCAACACCCACCATACAAACACAGTAGTATTAAGCTGCTATTTTACGCTGGCATTCTGTGAGTGTCGTCCTTCTCCGGAAGAGTCAACCCATTCATGCCAACTATAATATAGCCGCAGTATGGCTCTACCATATTGCAAGTTACAGGCCCAAGACCAACTGCTAGTAAAATATTTTCATGCAACACACATTTCAAATTGTAAATCGTATTTTTTACCCTTGGGTATGTGTTGGCATTATTAGCAGTGTAATTCAGCTGTTCCAGTTTGACAGTTATATGTTTAGAGGCTCATCATCATTAAACCTCATATCTCATAAACTAATTTTCGTAAGCTAATGTCCCCCCCCCCCATCTCTGTTATCCGCTCTTGTACAGACTCTTAAAATTTGGGCCAGTTCTTTAAATATGAGATGTCTACTTCTTCAAACACAATCATAATATATACAATATTTATAATTGCAAATAATTCCAGACACATGGTACAACTTGTACCATACAAGTGTTGGTAAAACAAAGCAATTTAAAAATTTTATTATGCCAAAAACTTACTTTAACAGCAATGCAGTCAAATTTATCGAAATTTATGCCTGAACTAATAGTACTACTGAAGATTTCTTGTTCATTCTCAGTTGGTTCTGGCGGTACATAAGTCACAGGAGGTTTCTTGGCTTCCTCTTCTCCTCCCTCATTTGACTCCCCTCCATCATTATTGCGACCACCCCTTCCACCTCCACCTCCCCGGCCTCTACCACGACCTCTGCCACGTTCACCTCTATCACCTCTGTCTCCTCGGTCATCATTGTTGGCATCATCATAGTGGTCACCTGAATAAGATAATTTGATTATTTTCTAACTTCAGTCAGATGGATGGATTGACAATGGCAAGAGGCAAAAGGCAATTTATCTGATTTCATGGTATAATTTTTTTTTAATTATATACATCACAATTAATTATACTTTAAATCTGATTGTTTTTATGTCAACCTATTAAGAGTACAACCTCAACGCTCATAAACCAAATAAAAATAAAACATTAACACTAATCTTGCAATATTAGTAAGTAGGTAGAGGTGTTGTTGGGATAATCCCAAGTACCCTACTAAGGACAGAATTCAGGCTTCTATAGAATAAGATGTGTATTATAATTTATAATGTTAATTGTATCACACACACTTACCTAAAAGCTGTCTAATATCAACGATTTTTACACTAACTTTGAATTCGCAATGCTTGGAAATTACAAAGCAAATCAGATAATATTTACATTAAAAAGCAAGGGCATGTGACAAGGACAGTTAAACTAGTTTTGAGTTATGAAAGTATGTGAGTACTCAAAAATAACAATGTTGCATCTTCATTTAATAAAAATGCTTAAGGCAGTGGTGGTCTAGGGAGCAAATTCAAGTATTACATACAAATATCTATATAAAAGACCATAGGTATCTCTGCACTAACTGTTTAACAAAGATTAGATCAAAATAGAAATAAACTAGGAAAGAATTTTTACACCAGATAGGTTGTACATACTACTACAACAGCTATAATTTGCAAAGCTCATGTGATATGTATGCTGTAATCGCTACATTGCGTAAATTCATTTGAGATGAAAAGAGAAATAAATAAGTAAATAAAACAGATAATACAAAACTTAAAATGCTAAACTATATTATTGATTTGTGACAATTATTTCAAAGAAACGAAATGTAAATGTAAAGTGTAAGCAACCTTTAACCATTAGTAAAATAAATATGGGTTAATTTTATTAATTAACCCATATTTATTTTACTGTTATTCCAGATATAACAGTAAACATAATACATAAACACTCACGCCTGTCACCCAGAGGGGTAGGCAGAGACTACAGACTTCCATTTGGCACGATCCTGACACATCTCTCTTGCCTCCTTCACATCCATACACCTACGCATACATGCTCGTCGGTTAAGGGTACTCCTGATTTGGCCCGTTTTCAATAAATCGCCAATTTGGTCGATAAATTTTCGCCTAGGACGTCCCTTTCCGACTCTGCCATTCACTTCTGCACCATAAATTTTCTTTGTCACTCTTTCCTCATTCATTCTTTCCACATGACCAAACCACCGAAGCATTCCTTTCTTAATCCTGGTCACAACATCATCTTGCAAACCACACTCTTCATAACAGTAAAATATAAATATAATTATAATAACATTGAAAATCATTTTAATCTATGACGAGACTGCCAAATTAAAATGCTTTTTTCTCACTAATTGACAATTTTTCACTGAACATGGCTGGCTTTACCACTTCATATTAATGCTCCATTGTCCTAAAACAATTACTCTTGATCTTTTGCGTATACTATTGTGATATGATAGACTTTATATTATTAAAAATCTCACAAGCATAGTTGTCACTTGCTGAGTGACCGTATAAATGATACTAGTTTTTTTTTTTTTTATAGAATAGGGTGACAAACGAGCACACAGTCCACCTGATGGTAAGTGGTTGCTGCGGCCCATAGACATCTACATCTATCTTCCATTACAAATCAAAATGCAGATGCGTTGTCACTCGCGAGGACTGAGATGGAATGCCTCATTTCCAGTAACAAGGGTCTCCGGTTCTCTACACTCACCATACGAAATACAGCAGCATTAAGCTACTATTTCACGCTGGTATTCTGTGAGAGCGTGGTCCTTCCCCGGTCGAGCCGACCCATTCGTGCTACAACTATACTACTAATATAACTGCAGCATGGCTCTACCACGTAGTTTGATTTATATAACTATTTGGACCCAGTAATAATATCAGTTTATATGAAGTTTGAGATTAGAACTTTTTAAAACTATTCATAAATTCTTACCATTTGTCTCAAAATCTCTGTGCTCCCTTGTTCCTCCACGTCCGCCACGTCCCCCGCGACCTCTGCCTCCGCCTCGACCGCCTCGCCCACGTTTCTCACCAAAACCATTCCCAACATCTTTACCAAAATCTGTAACCAATATACACATAGAAAGTTACTATTCAAAAAAACATTGAATAAAATTAATTTATTAACAATTATAATTACACAATATAAATAATCCTACAAAATAAAATACAAAACGACGTCTTTTTTATTCAGAAAAATCTTTCGCACTTATTCCATCCTGTTCAATCCTAAATTACGGAAATTAATATCAAATCAACTGAAATGATTGATTGATTGGAGTAACATTTAAGTATCCACTATTTTTTTTCTTACTGTTCTAAGCCAGTGCTTAACTACAATCCCACCTGATGGGAAGTGGTGATGTTCTCTAAGATGGTGTGAAGCACACTGATTTAACAAAAACCTGTAATTGGAGAGAAAGACAAATGCTGGCAACTTATTCAACTCTTTGGTTTGAATGTGTGGTAAATCAACAATGAAAGGCTTAACAAATAGCTTCTCTTTCAGACTGGATTTGATTGCGACTGGCCCGAGCACTTGGCTAGTATCTCTCCACAATTGTGCTGTCATCATTATACCCATAGATACCGGGCATAAGCAGATTATTAATGCAGCAGGAAGAGAGTTGTGGAGTGCACGGACCCCCGAGAGCAGCCATCGACGACTACTTGGAGACTATTCACTCAGAAAGTCCTTTACCCAGTCACCCAGGCCAAGGGATAAGCCGTATGCTGGAAAGCTTACCCAAAAGTCTAGCATGCCAAACTCTGTCAAAGGCCTCCAGGATATCAAGGGAAACAGCAAGTGCTTCCCCACTGTTTTGAGTACCTCCCCTTATGTGCGTAGCATACTCTAGATGGTCCCCAGCTGAACGATTTCGACTAAACTCATACTGTCGGTCACTGAGAACATTCTGTTCTAGTTATGCCATGAGGCGGTCCTTCAGTATATGCTCCATAATCTTGCAGAGTATGGAGGCAATTGAGATTGGAGATTAATTGACAAGGTCGGCACGTCTGCCTTTTTTGGAAGAGTCTGCATGTTGGCCAGCTTCAAGGATTTTGGCACTATTCCAGTCCAAAGTGGGAGGCGGAACAAGTGCTGTCAGCACAAGAGACAACTCAGGTGCACAAACCTTTAGAACTATAGCTAGTATACCATCTGGTCCACTAGCTTTATTCACGTAAACTCCACAAGGTTTTTAAAGTTAAAAAAATATTACAAAATCAGACTAAATTATCAAGATATAAGATATCTTTAATACCATTTAAAAACCTTTTTTTACAATATAGTATTAATATTTTTTGTATACTCAATTAAATTAACCACTATTTATTGTCCATGGACTTCTTATCCAGGTTATTAACAATTGGTAACATATATACACAAGTTAGTTGATTCAGTGGGATTCTCAATGTTATCTTCACTCAGCCATTTAGCATTTTCTTTCCCATCTGCATCTTGTTGTACAGTTACTCGCATTGGTTATAAAACAGTTGTTTATTTCTAGTTTGAAAAATGCAATGAAATCAATCCAGTATAACCAATAATATTAAGGATATTAATTATAATTGTGAAGTAAAATCCAAAATTCTTTAAAATAAGTTGGTTGTATTTAGTACAAACATTTTATTTATAATATCTAAGTAGCAAAAAAACTTATCAGACACCTGCAGTCAAATAAATATAATCTAAATTACATATAAATAAAATTAAAGCAACTGTCTACAATATCGCAAGAACTGCCTTCTATTAATTTCAAGAGATTGTTTGCATGGTATTAAATCATGAATCTTTGTAACAGCTAAACCAATTGCATTATTGCCTAGTTTCGCCTAGGCTAAACTAGTTTTTCCTAAAATCGGGTTTGGCCAGTAACTGCTCTGGCAACTTGGCAGATTTGCTCAAAACTAGTTTTGACAAAAATTTAAATAAAATATATGCATTTTGAGGATGTGTTTTATCAAAAACTATGTGGAAGAGAATGTTTACAATGGAAACTGAAGATCTATTAACAGATTTATATAAAAGAAAGTTTTTATCACCTTATCATTTAATATAGCTTTGTTTAAAATGGGGTTTATCTAAAAAAATGGGTAAAACTGCAGAAAACCGGTACTTGCGTACAGGGTGGGAGGGGGTAAGGGGAAATGGTTGGTGCAGGAGAAGCCCCCTACTTTTCTTCTATACTAAATCTATACTGCAACAGCTTCGGCGCTGCGGGAAGTGCAATCCCTTCGCCCTTGCATAGCAAATCGCAGACACCCATACTCATCTCCCGCAGCTTTGGCTTATTGGTCACCTTTGGCGACCAGCCTCATTCGCTACGGCTCGCGCGGGTGCTTGCAATTTGCTACGGCGGGCGGGGGCTGCTCTTCCTCTGCGTCGACGGCTCTACAAAAACACTAGGGGTAGGGCAGACAAGACTATGTGGAGTCGGGGCGTGTTGATTCCGTTTTAAGACAGATTCAACCAATCTTATATATAAAGTCAGGTTGCCCTAAACTTTTCTATGATAGTGGTAAATGTAATGTGAATTGTTACAATTTTGTTATTTGAAAAACCTTTTAACTGCTTTCTACTGCAACTCAATTTGATTGTCTGGGTCTGAGTGATAAACTTTTTTATGGTTGTATCCATGTTAAAAAAAACGAATTGACACATTTCCGACTATCATAATATCTAAGAACGCCCCCTAAACTAAAAACATTAAAATCAAATACTGGACATCTATAGCTAATCCAAAAAATGTTACAAGATAAAATGTATGGAAATTTTTAAATAAAATTGCAAACAGATTTTTGTTTAATAAAACTAGATTTTACAGATTTTATTGCGTACACTAACTTATTTTATATTCCCAACAATTCTAGTGCTTCACAGCACTCATGGCCGGGGAGGGGGACAACAACAGAGGTGAATAGTTGCCAGCACAAGACATGAGCACAGATGAACTGTGGTGGGGGTTCAGCCAGAGTAAATTTATTTGGTATCTTTATCATTTCAATTTGTAACTGAATATTTTCACAGACTTTTTTTCGAAATTCTTAGTCATTAACTCCTTTAACTATACACTGTACAGTAGCTGCTAAGATATTAGTCGCCTCAGCAGTCTGTTTATAAACATCTATCATGTTTTTCGCAATACCTAATTTTTTCATGTAAAAAAACACTGAATAGAGCATTTTTGTCGGAATCGCCTATTTAACACCGAATTCTTTATTCTCTGCATATTTAGACCAAAATCTGAATACTCAAAGTATAACAACAAAGATAATCAACACAAAAAATAAAAAAAGAAATACAAAATAATTATTAAGTTGTCACTAAATTGCTATTACTTTTATGATTATGGATATTTCATGAAATACGCAATAGGAGCAATAGGGTCCATTTCTGAGACGCCCGCAGTAGTGAATTCTAGTTCTCTGTTTTGCGGGTTTACCATACTGCATTACGTTCAAATTCGGTTAAATTGTTAGAATCGTAAAGAATCTAGCGCCCTTGAGCAGACAAACGGAGCTTGGTTGACTCCAATCTCATTCGATGATTTATAAAAAATTAGATGTGGCATTTAGATATGCCATGTATGTTAACACAAGACTTCGGAATTTTTTAAACAATTTATTAAAACAGAAAAGTAGAAATTATTTACATAGGTTTTAAATTTAAGTTGGTTTTTTTAATATTTAAGTTGGTTTTTAAGGTCACCTCAGAGGTTTTTTAATGTACATCTTATCTGTATGTACTTTCCAAAATTCATAAATCAAAAAGAATTAAAAAAAATTAATTCCTTTTGATTTACTTTTTACGTAGGTTTCAGTTTTGCAAATTGTGTAACGTTGCATTATGTTTCAACCTAGAGCAAGATTGCTGCTACCTACAGTACCATTCGTAAATGAATAGTAGTACTGTAGATACAGTAAATCCAACAAGTACCAGGAGCCTTTTAAAGAAATGAGTACCTACCCATGTTACATATTTATTCAATTTTATACTTATATCCATCCATCCATTTAGTTTTTATTGTTGCCTAGCTGTAATTTATTCAGCTAATTATTTCAGACTATCATCATTGAAATAGTTAAGTTACAGCCTATTTACATCCCACTGCTGGCCCTCCCCTCACTTCTGAGTGTTTTAGGGCAAAGAAGTGCCCGCTGTGCTACCCCTAACCTACCGCTGAGCATGTGGTAGATCAGCACTTAAAATAGCAATTAACAATTTCATTGATGCCAGCAGGGATCGCACCCAGTTTGCTAGTGTACTGTGAAATTTAACGCAAGAGCTAACCATCTGAGCTACCGGGGCTCTTCTGAGCCACCACGGCTCTCATCGTTGAAACAAATACACCTTTTAATTTTGTATGTTTTTTTGGTCTATAGAATAGGGTGACAAACGAGCACACAGTCCACCTGCTTGTAAGTAGTTGCTGCAGCCCATAGATCATAGTTCATCTATCCTTGATTACAAATCAAAATATAGATGCATTGTCACCCATGAGGCCTAAGATGGAATGCCTCATTTCCAGTAAAAACCGTCTCCAGTTCTCTACACTCACGATGCGAAACACAGCCAGCATTAAGCTATATTTCACACTGGTATTCTGTGAGAGCGTGGTCCTTCCCCGGTCGAGTCGACCCATTCGTGCAACTATACTACTAATATAACTACAGCATGGCTCTACCACATATAAAAAATGTTTTAATGAACTAGTACATGATGCACAAATAACCGCCGCGCACTTTGCGCGCCTATGAAAGGTTTTGTCACTCGACACTATTATGGTGCATTGAGTAATGTTTACAAAAAACCAGCTGAGTGACCCTTGAATGGTTTTATGGCTTTTAAGGGAATGAATGGATCTTTATTTCTCTACAAGTGCTGTTGAAAATTGTTTGTTCAAATAATAAATTAATTAATTTTTCAATAAATATGGCACTTAGGCCTAAAATTTTGATATGGGCATTAAGAGTACTTATGAAATACTTTATGAGATTTGTAAAACTTAGCAAGATCTATTTAAAGATGACTGAATCATGTAAGGAAAAAGAGAGGTTTCAACTAGTCCTGAAAAAAAACCCACATTGTTTGTTCAAATAATAAAGTAATTAATTTTTCAAATATATGGCACTTAGGGCTAAAATTTTGATATCGGCATTAAGAGTACTTATGAAATACTTTATGAGATTTGTAAAACTTAGCAAGATCTATTTAAAGATGACTGAATCATGTAAGGAAAAAGAGAGGTTCAACTAGTCCTGAAAAAAAAAACCACATGTTTCTTCATGAATTTAAGTATATATTTTTAAAGAAATAAAAAAAAAACTATTTTTATTGACTAATGCATTAATGCTGCATCTGGTCCGAACAACATTCTAAGTCGGTGTAAGTTGATTGTGGGTTCTTGTAAGCTTATTATTAATGTGTTTATTGATAAAAATTTGTATTGTAGCCTATGACTTTACCCATAAAATATTGTAAACAATAGATTTAAGATTAAAATAAATACAAAATTGAACAATTAAAAAACTTTGTTTCATCGAGATATATGACAATTTTAACTTTACTCAATATTTACTTACACTAATTACTTTGGGACTTTATTAAAAATTTATGTACTTGTTTATAGGAAATTTCATAGAGAATTCAGAAATGTATACATATTATCAATCAATTTTATTTAACAGCTCCGCAGTCAATGGAGTATGAAAGTTAGAGTCTAAGCAGTTGAAAGGTTATCTATTTATGCTAGTTATGTAAAAGTTAAACCAAGAAAAAAACTACTTTGTTCTGAAATTGATAGGAAATAAAGTTTTATATAATATTAAACACTAAGTGATTTAACTACTAGTCTTGGTTCTAATAAGTTTTAACTTATATATTACAGATAAAATCTTATACCAATATATTATTAGTTCAAAATTCTTTAGACAAAATACTTTGACTTTTTTGTCAGTCAACATTACTTTTGATCAGGAAATAGTTTTAAATGTATATTTCATAACTAATGCAGTGTTATTTAATTTTAATCAAAGCAAAGTGCAATACACAAACACAACTTGCTTAACCTAAATACAGCATCTCAAATGTGTATGTTTACATCTAACAAGCAAAGTTATTGAAGAAAAATGTAATTTTGTTCTTTATTTTCTCAAAACTGAGTTTCCGGGCATTTAAAAATATAATTTAAAAAATCCACGACTGATGTGAAAGTTATAATATAAAGAAATGACCTCTCACCCTAAATGCATACACCTTCTCCATTCCATCTTGGCTAAAAAGGAGAACTATCCCTCATAAAAGTTTGAAGTTTAATGAAGAAGTGAAACTGAAAGTGTTGTTACAAACTAACAAAGATTAAATCAAAAATATACTTCATACATACCATCATCATTAAAAGAGGGAAATCCTCTACCTCTTGATAAACTGTGTCCCTCATCTACATTATTCTCATGATAGTTGTTAATAGGAGCTGGCACCACCTAGAAATAAGTTTACAATAATGTTGTTACTGTGAATATATAAACATTTAATAGATAATAGAAATGTATTATTTCAATGAGACAAAATTTGGTCATGAATACTCACAACATCAGAAGAATCATCCCATTCATCATCCATAGTCTGCAAATTAAAGAATAATAATCAGTAATAAGCGATACATATAGAAACGAATAGGTTACTTATACGGTCATACAGTTCAAAAACTGAAAGAATACCCTTTGTACAAGATTTTAAAACCTTGGCGGAAACTTGGGTACCCGCAATATGCAAGTATAACTACCTTTATTAAAAAATGTAAATTAATTAGTTTCTAATTAAATAATTTTTAATATCTGTGATTCTATAACTTATAAAAGCCTAAAAATATAAATAAAGCCTTCATTAAAGAACAAAAAAGATTAAAAAATGCAAAGACCGGTACATGTAAAACACAAAACACGTGCATCTGATGAATCTTTTAATAGCTAGTTACAAATAATGACTAGTAATTGATTTGTAATTGTAAAGTTAACTTACCGGTTTTAAAATAACGAAAAATCAGCTAAAAATATTACAGTAATAAATTTTGAAACGATGCGAACAAAGACATTCGAGGACAAACAGCTTCTATTCTAAATTCGAAATGGCGGCCAAAGATTATAGACATCATAAATAAATAAAAAATAAATATAATAGACATGTGAAAAATCACTTAGGTAAATAAATTAGGCTGTTACAAATAACAGTACGAAAAAATACGATGTATGGATATATCGATATAAAATAGCAAGTATTGAAAATCTATCAAATACAATATATTTCCAGTAGCAACGTCGTTGTTGCAACTGACTGAACCCGCTGTAATTCAAATTATGTATTAAAATCTTGGACTAACAGCTCATCAGAGTCCTTTCATATATAGCGCTAAAGTATTTTACCTATTGCATCCTTAGTTTTATGAGTAGGAGTGGCATCAGTTTTTAATATAAGCAGAAGCCAACTTTCAGCAAAGTACATTTGATTTAGTTTTTCTTTTGTTTTTATTTTTCGGATAAATATTAGTTTGTTAATTTTGAAATTGTTTGTTCTAAGTATTTTTTATAATTTTACATTACTGTCACTTGATTATAAGAAATGATGTTTCTAATGTGGTATTTATATGAATAGGAATACTGACAGATTTATTGAACTAGACTAGTAAAACAAACACAATAGAAGTTCATAAAGTACAAATATTTTTTAGAAAATTTACTGATATGTCGATATCTATTTTTTGGATATATCGTAATCTATATCAATACTTAAAATGTTATTATATATATATATATATATATATATATATATATATTATATTTATATATATATATATATATATATATATATATATTATAATATATATATATATATATATATTATTATTATTATTATTATTATTATATATTTATATTATTATATATATATATTATATATTATTTTTATATATATATATATATATATTTATATTATATATATATATATATATATATATATATATATATATATATTATATATATATGATATATGATATATGTATATATATATATATATATTACTAGACTAGTAAAACAAACACAATATATATATATATATATATTTTTATAGATATATATGATATATATATCTATTTTTTGGATATATCTAATCTATATATATATATATATATATATATATATACATATATATATATATATATATATATATATATATATATATATATATATATATATATATATATTTATATTTATATATAGTATCGATATATTTTGGCACTTCTAGCATCCTTAATTATAAAAAGCAGTTATGAGATCACTCGGAATTTACCGGCTGCAGGCACAGTGAGCCGGCAGTAATAGTAGTATTCGTCTCCTTTTCATCCCCCTTCTGAGGACAGGAGGGCCTTCAGATATCGAGGCATCCCTCTCTACCTGGGCATCATCGCGGAGGGCATGGCTCACCAGGTCGTGGGTGTTGCTACGCAGCTTGTGGAGGGTATGATCGGAGGGGGGTTCTGCGCGGTCGAAAAACCATCTCGCAGTACGGGCCACAAATTCATGTATCGACTCGATCTTGGGGTCTCTGGCTATTATCTCATTTCTGACGTAGCGGGCTGCTCCCACGATTACCCGAAGCGCAAGATTCTGCTGGGCTTGCAATTTCTTGCGCTGAGTGGCCGATGTCAGTGACTACCAGGCTGGCGCTGCGTATGTCAGCCGTAAGCGGACGTAGGTCTTGTATATGGTGAGTTTGATTTTTAAGGGAAGTTTGGATACCAGTATAGGGTATAGTTTCGCTAGTGCGACTCTGACCTGAGCCACGACGTGGTCGACCATCGGGGTCATGCGCAACGAGCGATCTATCTGGCATCCTAGGTAGGTTCCTTGCCGCGATCTCTACCCGACGAGATGACGCGAAGTACGCACTGTCGTCTGTATACAGCGCAAGGACGACATCATCTTCCCACTTCTCCAGGCGGCCTTGGAGTGTGGGGTTGTCAGCTGCGGTTGTGTTCGGCCACAAGATAGTGCAGCACGCGGCTAGTTGGGCTGTGTTTGAATGTGCTCTGCGGAAGCCAAATTGCTCCTCCCGCACAGCAACATGCAGCTGAGCCGGCAATGAACGATCTCGTAGGAGTGAGCGAGTAATAATACCTTTTTGCACAAACTACAGCAATGGTACGAACGTCAGAGAAATATTAAGTTATATTCGCTGTGACGATAATTTTGACCGGCATTGACTAACTTCACAGTGATGGTTTTTTCAGAAAAAGGTTCACGACATTGTCTGCCACCAGGGCAGCACTACTTAGCTATGAGGCGAAATATTTGACAGATTTCATAGCGAAGAAAGTTATTTTGTAAGAAATGTGGACAGATTAGAAATAGATGAACCATACTACGTAATCTTAAAAAAAAACAACTAAAAAATTGTGAATAAAATTAAAACATACACCTTTTTATTTTGCGCCCGAAGCAAATAAGGGCAATCCTCCGGTAACGGGGGAGGGAGGTGGTAAATGCTCATAGCATACCACACAGCCGGCTGTGCGGTTATGTGGAGACTTTTACCCACTAAACACCACCTTTTGCGATTGGCTTAATGATCTGACGAGAGATCTTTAAGCCGTAAACGGACGCGACCCTCCTTGGCAGAGGTGAGCCTAACTGATGCAGATTACGGGATGTGTTAGTAAGGCTCGGCCTGAGCCGCCAGGAGGCAGTTCAGGTCAGCCGAAAGCTTGTTGGGTGGTCCGAGAGAGAGTTTCTCGGCCTGCGCATACTATAGCGAGTGTGAAGAGGGGCTGCATAGGAAGCTGCCTCACGAATGAGGCTTTGAAGAATCTCTCAGCGAGTGATTTGAGGAACTGCTGAATTGTAGGGAGCTCTAAGTTTCGGTGGAGGTCAGCGTTACGGACATAATAGGGTGAGTTCGTAGCCCGACGACAGAAGAGATTTTGAACTATTTGAAGTTCATGTATTAAGTTGGGTTTAGCATGTGCAAAAATGGGGCCGCGTAGGTCATAACCGGTCGTATACAGACCTTATATAGGGTTCGCTTGTTGTGGGGGGACATTTTACTGCGTCTGCCCAACATGTTGTTGAGGCTACCCATGTAAAATCGCGTGATGCGAGTTATTTTCTTGATATGGAGCTCGAAAGTGAGCTTTGCATCAAGGGTGACGCCTAAGTATTTGACTTTTGTTTGCCATGGGACAGGGGTTCCTAACATCCTGATTGGCGGAATGGCAGTGAGACGGGGTCGTTTATGTTCGAAGCAAACGGCGGAACTCTTCTTCGGGTTTACCTCGATACGCCATTTTTGGAACCAAGCTCCTAAGTTACTAACTGACTTTTGGATCTTGTTACGAATCTGTAGCAGTGAGTTGCCTTTAGAGTAGAGGGCTGTGTCATCTGCGAAGAGGGCTAGTTTTACACCATTTGACGGGATAGGAATGTCGTTGGTGAATAGTATGTATAGGAGGGGGGAAAGCACAGAGCCCTGAGGGACACCGGCTTTGATTTGACGAGAAAAGGAAAGCGTGCCTTCGTGTCTAAAACGAAAGGTAAGATCCTTCAAATAGCCACTCAAACGTCCATGGCTACTACGCTAGCCAAAACAAAAGTAGCGTTGTACGTCCCGGATAGTGAAGAAGCCTTAGCGTCAAGTTTTATAAAACTGACATCTAGGGACATTTGCGGTAATTTTTGTAAGTTTGGTTTTTTGGAATCGATAGCTGACGAACTAGGTACTTTACGTATTACAAACGAGATGGCAGTGTAACAAGCCTTAACGAATGAACCGTAATTATTTAACAACAGTCTACTCTACTCTCGGTGTTTTGTGAACAAGTGCTTGTGGAGTGTCAACGATTATGTCGTAAGTACTTTAGTTTTATTTAATACTACTTAGAATATTATACGTCACAATAAACTAGATGATTTATGCTTTATAATTACGTATACATATCACAGTTCTTAGTGTAAAATCGAGTCTTATTTTAAATTTAAATTATAGCTGTTTCGAAAGAAATGGCCGCTCTCAAGTTGTCGGCCCAAGTTTATTTTTGTTTACTTTGTTTTTCAGTAAAATTATATATAAGCAAACGAGTGTTAGTTCGTAATAAACATAATAATGAACTTTACAAACAGAAATAAACTATATTCATTGAAGATTCTTTAAAAATGTTAGTGCGTTACTCAGGTTTTTTGTTGTGGCTAGTTTTATATCCATGGACGTAACGACAATAGTTCTAAGTAAGGGTCGGTACAAACAGCAAAATATGTTTGCCAGATGTTTTGCTTTGTTATTTTTTACGGTCTTAGGTGCTGGTTTTGAGTCTTATTTCTTAATAATTTATATTGATTCTTAATCATAATCGTAATTTTTAATACATTATTATTGTTTTTTTCCTTGATGATTATTGACCATCAATAATGGTTTCAATTAATACAAGCTACAGCCAGAATGATTTGGAAGTGCCTGGAATGTAACAAACACCTATGTATTGATAGTTGTTTTATGCAGTTTCACATATAATTTATTATTTTTTATTTATTTATTGTTACGAGCTTGAGGTTCGTGACAATAAAAATTGCCGATAT